GGTTTTGGGTTTAGGGGTTTAGGGTTTAAGGGTAAGGGTTTAGGGTTTAGGGTTTAGAGTTTGGGGTGTAGGGTTTAGGGGTTTGGGGTTTAGGGGTTTAGCGGTTTAGGGTTTTGGGTAAGGGTTTAGGGTTTAGGGTTTAGTCCCTTAAGGTCCCCTAGAATAGTCCCAATAACCAATTCCCCGCATTCCTTACGAAGAACCCGTCAGATCTTCATGGGCAAGTAGCTTGGATCTAAGCCACTTCGCTCAATCCACAGCTCCAGACCACTTCGAACTTGCCTGCGCCCGTGCCAGTTTAGGGATGAGGGCTGTTTAGGGTTTAGGGTTTAGGGCTGTTGAGGGTTTCGGGTTGTTTTTGCCAAGGGCTCTAAAAGGGGGTGCATACGCGAACTAGGGCTGGGTCCTAACCATGTTCAAAGTTGGCTCGCACCCCCCGAAGACAGTGACCCTAAACCCTAAACCCTGAACCCCTCCAAAAAGTTAAACTTTTAGTCTCCTTATGAGATTTCATATAGAAACACAAAAAAGCTACAGTCCTAAGAGCCAACCAGAAGCACACCAAGCAAAGAAAGCTTACATTGGAGCTTTCAGACAGCTTTTGGAGGCTCTGAGCTCGTGTGTTTGGAGTATCCAAGCAAGTTCGGGTTTAGGGTTTAGGGTTTAGGGGTTTAGGGGTTTAGGGGTTTAGGGGTTTAGGGTTTAGGGGTTAAGGGGTTTAGGCTTCAGGGGTTTAGGGTTTAGGGGTTTAGGGTTTAGGGGTTCAGGGGTTTAGGGTTTAGGGAACATGTTAGGACTTCCAGGTCAGGAGCTTAGGATCTTACAAGTGATGTGGGGACCTTCATAATTGAACAGGTTTTTGTTGGGCTTCCGTTAAAGGGTTCCTTAAAGGGTTCTATAAGGGCTACTATCAGGGTTTAGGGTTTAGGGTTAAGTGTTTGGCGATTACCTATACTATTCCCGGGGTTCCTTGCTACACTTAACTTATAACTTTTAATAGTATAATATGCCCAAAACCCTATTCTAATTATGAAGGCCCCATACATCTAACTTTCTACCTGCTGCTTAATGATCAGAATAGGGTTTTGAGGGTTCCTTACTGTAGCCAAAGTATACTTTACCCCCAAACCCGACTCTAGTTATTACGGCCCCTATATTAAGCCCGACCCCTTCCAGCGCTGCCCCACTGCTCTAGCTGGACCTATCTCTTTTCAAACCCTCAAGCGCTCCTAGACCAGTAAAAGCCCTTAAAGCCCGAATTATAGAAACCGTATACATAAATCCCTGATAGAACAACTAAAGGAGCTCAGTAGACGTCTAGTGCGGACAAATCCATGTATCCGGACCCTAAGTCGGAAGCACGCCCCAAACCTTCAACCAGACATACAGAACTGCACAGGTGTCGCCCTGCGCCTGACGGTGTATGCCCACGACCAGGAGAGGAAGTGAGTACACTTCTGTCGGTGCTGCCTGCTCAGTCCGATCAGCCAGGCACTCAAGATACACTGCCGTCAGCCAAGGATGAGAAGAGTCCCTCGACTTTTAAACCCTAGCGGCCCTAATTCTTAAACTTGAAACCCTAAATCTCAAACGGTAGCGAAACCAAAAGAACCAGTCCCCAGCGCACACATGGAGCCCAACGCCCTTCCCCAAAGTCAAAGTCTCACTAAAGCCGCTATTGGATGAGTGGCATGCTCCGTGAACCCAAACACGAAGCCGAATGTGGAGAACCGCATCTGAATCATGTAGGTCTTGCTGCATGTCTCAAAAGTAATTAAAATCAGCGCGGCTACTTACCACCCAGCAAGCATCGTGAGTGTCATGTGTCAGGCTTCATGCAGAGCAAACCCACCCCAAGCGTTATCGGGAACAGCGGCTGCCCTGGCTGCCCAGCACCGGGCATGGTGTCTTCAGAAAGAACATCGTCGAATCATCATCATGATCGTGATCATGCCGATCATGATGATCGTCGACTTCATCACTGTCATCATCATCATCACCATCATCATCATCATCATCACTAACACTATCTACTATCACCATCACCATCATCGTCATCATCATCCTCGTCCTCGTCCCCGTCATTGTCCTCCTCTCTTGCTTCGTTCACTCCTTGCTTCCTTCCCTCCTTCCTTCGTTCCTTCTATTTCTGCCTTCGTTCCTCCTCCTCTGCCTCCTCATCATCAGCATCATCCTGTCATACTGGTCCCCGTGGTTCGGTTGTCGGCCTCTTAAACCAGTGTTTGCTTCGAAGCCCCTTACCCAACATCGCCCAGACAACTACAGCATCTTACATCCGGTGCCTTGCTGGGTGCCCGGATCCTTCCTAACAGCATCTTTGTGCCGAAATCCTCGTCACAGCCTTGTCAGGCTTGGAACATCTTGTGTCAACCTGCTTGCCACCATCCACCCTCCAGCGAGCATAAAAATCATGTTCTTCCACTCCACCAGTTTCGTGCGAGCATAAACTGCAACATGTATCTTGAGCACTCTGGCTCATGACTTGATATCAAAGACCCGCACATCATGAACATCATCTGCTCGGCTCCTTGTCGGGCATCCCCCCCGATGTGAGCGTCATAAGCATCAGCTGCCCGACGACGTCGCCTCCGTCGGCCCACTTCATGCACATCAAGAGCAAGGCTCTTTGGCCCGGTGCCGCCAACATATGATTTCAATATCATCATCTGCCTGGCTAGCATCTCCGACCGCATGAACCAATGCTGCCAGTGAGCATCAGCTTCCCTCAACATCGTTAATAATAACAAGCAGGCACTAGCGCGAGTTGCCCGGCGCCGTATTGGGTGCCTTCCGCCCCAGAAGAACACCCGCCGGTGCTTCTCCTGGCAGCAACCCCATTAGCTGCCAGTCGTGTTATTCTTCTCCCCAAATCACCATCAGAACCACCTTCACAGCAGCTTACCCAGCGTCTCCCGCGCAGCCCAGCATCAAGAGCTGCATAACATCAGCTTCAAGGTGTCGCCTCTGCAACGACGAGCATCATGCCTCTATAGTCATACTACTGTTGATGATAGAAACCCTGAGCATTACCTTCAGGATCCCAGACCATGGGAATTCTGGTATATTCCTTGTTATGGGTACTGCAGGATTCATATCATCAGCCGGCACCTACTTAACCCTCAGAGTAGCTTTATGGTACCCTTGTAGTACCCTTTATCCTTACAGTACACTTCTAGTAGCGTTAGCCCTTATAGTACGGCTGATGATCTAAATCCTGCATTACCCGTAATAAGGAATATACCATAATTCCCAGAGTTTAGGCTCCTTAAGGTAGTACAGGATTTATATCCTCAACAGTAGTATTACTATAGAAATGTTCCTTAAATCATAATACTAAGGCCCCTATAATTTAAGGCATATTGGGCTCTCTGGGTACTGTCCGGGAAGCTTGCCTCGGCAACGTGTCGATCAGCGACACGCCAAGTCTCCTTGCAGAGTTGAGGTTAAGGTTCAGCAAATTCAGCCTTATGGCCTCATGGGACTCATGGGTAAGGGTTTAGAGGCACAGGGTTTATAGGTCGGTTAGGTTTAGGGGCTGAGGTTTTTCAGGGTTCAAGGTTGATGTGGGGCTATGTTACGTCGCGCCATCCAAGTACCCCCGCACTGGCATGGCATCGGAAGGAGGAACGTCGAAACCTATGCGCGCCACCTGACCAAGTGAGGTGGATAATTAAAATGGATTCGCCAAGCACGGGGTTGGCTTAGTGAGTCGCGCAACCTGGACCCTAAACCGGGGTGTGACTGTGCACGTTCTTTGCAGCTAGGCAGCCCATCTCGCGGGCAAATCTTGCCTGCACCAACTTTCCTCTCTCCTCGGTTGCAGTGCTGTACATACAAACTAACAAGCATACATACATGCATACATGCATACATGCATGCATACATAGAGAAATGCTCACTGAGTGACTTAGTTACTTAGTTACCATATGTACATACATTTACATACATTTACATACATTTACATACATTTACATACATGTTTACACGTATTCATGTATACATGTTTTGTGCGCACTGATGCATGCATGGATGGATGCGTGGATGGATGGATGGATGGATGGATGGATGGATGGATGGATGGATGGATAGATGGTATGTATGTATGCACGCACACATATATATATATGTATATAGAGCATATATATATATATTACATTGCTACGCATGTGCCAAGTCAAGTGCAAACGACCCTACATGTGATGTTCAACCGGACAAGACACCCATAAACACACCAACCCTACACCCTAAACCCTAAACCCTAAACCCTAAACCCTACACCCTACACCCTACACCCTAAACCCTACACCCTAGACCCTTAAAGCGGGCAAGAGACCCATGAAGAAGGCCTGCTTCAGGTCGTGGAAGGTCGGATCCTCGTTGCCGGATGCGAAAAGCTAAGGGCCCCTGAACGCGCTAGCCTTTAGGGTGTGGGGGTTAAGGTCAGGGGCTCCTTAAAGGGATCTATTAGGGTTTAGGGTTTAGGGGTTTAGGGTTTAGGTTTTAGGGTTTAGGGCTTAATCAGGGTTAGGGTTCGGCTGTAGGGCGTTAGGATGCTGTCGGGCTTTGGGGTTCAGGGTCTATAAAAAAAGAATGAAGACTTATGAGGAAAGGCACTACTCAGTTCAAGGGCGTCGCAATCATGCTAACACAGGGGCCGACATGATTTAGGGTTTGGTAGCACATCTTCACATAACCCCATGTAAAGCGCTGACAAGGCGACAGACAGTGGAGCCGAGGATCATCAACACTGGGAGCTGTCGGAAAGCCAACTGGGTCTTAGGGCTTAGGGCTCTTCGGTTTAGAGTTCAGACTGGGTGAGCAAGCAGGAAATTTCAGGCTTTAGGGGTCTAGGGCTTTAGGGCTTAGGGTTTAGGGGTTTAGGGGTTTCGGGTCTTGGGGTCTTGGGGACTGAGAACCCAGGGTTTGCTGAACCCGGTTCCTGATGACCCTCTCCAACCCCTCCTCTGATGCTACAGACTTGGCCCCACCCAAAACCCAATACCCAAAATCCTAAACCCTGAACCCTCAAACCTAAACCCAAAACCTTAAACCCAAAACCCTAAACCCAAAACCCTAAACCCAAGACCCTAAACCCTACACCCCCTTACCCCCAACTCTTCATCCCTGAACCCCAAAGGCCGCCACTGAAGCCCTCTGAGCTCGCAGCTTTCATGCCAGTCGCTTGCAGCCTTGGTACAGCCATGCAGGCTTTGAGTCCCGCAGCTTAGAAAGACCCATGCGATCGATCTATTGGCCCGAGAACTGGGTGTTGCTTGCGAATCTTGTTTGTACATGTTTGTGCTATTCTTGTCATCAGTTACACCCTAAACCCCTAGACCCTAAACCCCATTGATTATTGAAAGGGTGAATTTTTATGTACGACACGAGATTGGGACTTCGACTCTTTGGGTCTCTCTTGCTTCAGGGGGAGCCTTCTCGCTGATCTCCGCATTTTCCACTCTCACGACCGGGGCGGAGCCCGCCCCAGAGCTTCCGGAGCTCTGCCCCTGGTCCGCAGACGGGGCTGGGTACCATGACGACCCACGGAAAGCCTTCCCTTTGCACCCTGTCTGCGGCCACCGGGCGCAAGTCAGAAAGAGTTTTCCGGCCCACCCGTTGCGAAAAATGACCGGGGCGGCACATTGATCGCACACGAGGCCTTCCGGTGTATAGTCTGCCTTCGCCACTTTGCCCAAGGTCACACACGTCCACTGGTTTGCCACCGCCTGGACTGCCTCGACCGCCGGGGCCGCCTCGGCCGCCTGGGCATCGGCCTCAAACATGTCCATTATCGGTGTGTGATTTTGGCATGATCTGGCATAAAGCGCATCACACCCTCCGGTTCCCCAACGCAAAGTCACTACAACCAGGTATGGTCAAAGATGTCAAGGATCCACATACCAGCTTTGTCCCGAACCGAATGTCTTCCAGCTTGCCGGTTTCGGCAAAGGACTTTTTTTTATGTTTTAAGTTGCTGAGTCGAAGCTGCTACTTCCACGTTGGCGCTCCTCCCCAGCTGTTGCCCCCACACTGCTATCTATTTACAGGCTGAGCAGAGCGACTTGCCCACGAAAATGCCATCGAAATGTTTTGTTTCGCGGGTGGCACTGGGGCCAAGTAAAAAAGAGTCAGGGTTCTTTCATGCCGGAAATACCTTACTGGTTCAGCGCAAACCCGAACTCCTAAACTCTAAACAAGAGTGAACTAGCCAGGGTTTTGGGTTTAGGCCGCAGTCTTTTAAAGCCTGAGCAGCAAGGAGCACCGATTTGCAAGTGTCAGAAGATTAACGGGTTCAACAGCCTTCCCCCCTACGTAGTACCCCCCCCCCAAAATGCCGTGCAGCTGCAGGTTCCAAGGCTGGCATCGTAGTAGTAACACTGCAGTCATAATGCTGAAAAGTAAACATACTAGTCAGAAACAGCACAAGCAGCAGTAATAGTAATAGTCACGGTAAGAGAGTAAGAGTAAGTGCAAGAGTAAGGGTAAGGGTAAGAGTAAGAGTAGGGGTGCGGGTAAGACTAACAGTAATAGTAATAGTAGCAGTGACAGCAGCAGCAGCAGCA